ATTGCGGCGTTTCAGCCCGAGGAAGTCAACCTACTGAGATTGACTAAGTCGTTTCAAGAGTAGTAGGAACTTAACAAACCGTTCACCGAGGAGTCCGCGACGGTTATCTTAGTCGAAAAATGGGAAAGGCGGGGCTATTTCCTGATGAAAGTTTGCATCCAGTGCTGAATCTTCTGATGCATTGCAGACGATGGCTAAAACATCGTAACCCAGGCTACGAAAGGCATCAACCACCCATTTTCTCTGTCTGGGCTCCTTTAGAGTCTTCAACGGAAGCAGAAGAAACTTTTCCTTGAAATCGGATGCATTGAGGACATTGAGCAGCCAGATGGCCTGCAATTCCATCACTTCTGTTGGGTGATCAACCACGTAATGAGTAATAAGTTTTGAGTTGAACTGAAACTCTGTCGACGCAATTTCAAAGCGGATCCCAAAAGTCTCTATTTCAGCACGATAAGCTTTACTCAAGCTGACTGCAGCCTTCCAGGCATTGATCTCTCCGACAGCTTCGTCAAAAATTGCTTTGGCACATTGCTCATCCAAAAACTGCCTTTCTTTCTCTTTATCAAAAAACCATTTCTTCACTCGTTCATGGATTTTGTCTGCAATATAGCCACTGTCCGACGAATTAATATCTTTCTTGATAATCTCACTCAAACGTTCTTGATTTGGTTGATTCACAAACAGCGTGAGATGCCCCAGGAAATCAATGAGTTTTTGCTTTATCGCTCCGTCATCAGTCGTGTTCGAGGAGCCGGTACTTTTCACTTTAGCGGTGAGTTCACTCAAAAACTCAGGATCATCCTTTTTGAATTTGTAACAGACCGCGGACTTGTCGTCGGGGAAATGGAGCAAAGGATCGTTTTCAGCAGTGACTTCAACCACAACATTTTTAACCTGTTCGTCAGCATCGTTCAAGCCAATGTTCGTGAATAAGATGACGTCTTCGATACGCTGATTTTTAAATGGAGGTTCGCTCGTGATGGTTTGATAGGAAAGGAAGTACTTGATCAAACTGAAGTCCCCGTCTTTCAAACGTTTATTATTCTTCGGCATCAAGTCTTCATCATTGATCAGTTCATCATTCTTCTTATGTTTCGCTTGCAACAGTCGATACCTTGTGACTCCATTCACGGTGTGTTCCACAGTTAAATCGTCGAATTTACCCGCAGCTTTCCACTCTGAACCCAGGTAAAAAGGATTCCCGTTGTTCAACCCACGGACCAAACATAGCGTCAACAGGTTGATCTGAAAGAGATTTCCCTCCATGCTGCCAGTCATGCCGCCGCCGCGGCTGACTTCGTAAACTCTAGTATTTTCGTTTCTCACTCCCTCTGATGATTTTTTTTTTTTCAATGCTTTGATTAACCCGGGGTGATTCCCTGCTAGCATCCGTGGCGTTTGACCGGCTTGATTTTCCAGGTCTTCTCCATCGGCATTCAGGAGGAAATAAACCAGTCCTACTTCCTGTTTCATAACAGCCAAGTGCAGTGCAGTGTTGCCGGTGTTGGGCTCTCGGAAATTCACATCCCCGCCGTCTCCACGTTTTAAGGCATTCATGTCTCCAATAATTTCCTTTATTGGTTTCTCCGCGGCAAAACCCTGTTCAATGAGGGCGTAAAAGGTAGGCAATTTGGATCCGCTGATTTCAGGGTCCTGTGCCGATCGGGTTTCAGCAACATGATGGGTAGATGATCGGGTTATTGTTGGGGTCTCTGGTGGAGGTTTTTCTTCCCCTGAAGGTAGGGATTGACCAAGTGATTGTTCGACTGGATTGGTGCGGGGCGATGGAACATCATTTCTTGGTCTATCATGACTTGCTTGATTTTCCAGTGTATCAATTATTTTCGGATTCCGAAGGTATTTCGCTAATTCTAAAGGGGTTTTACCGTCTTCATTTTTTATCTCACAATTAGCGCCTTTCTGCAAAAGGAATTGAACGACTTCCAGTTGACCGCTTTCGACTGCTAGATGCATAGGCGTATTCTTTCCAGGATAATTACTGTCTTGGAAATTAATGTTTGCTCCACGTTCAACTGCTCTTTCAACTTCTTCGAGGCGTTCTTCTGCTTCGAGTTCGTCGTCGAGAATTGCATTCATTAATTTATTAGTTGCGATTCTCTGCTTAGCTTCATGTGCTGATGAAGCAGCACCACCAGCACGTTCCTCCATCAGGGAGAGTCGTCGTCGTCTTTTTTGTTTTGTTTTCGGGGTACTGGTCCGATCTGTGGCACTTTCCGCTGCGGAACCATCAGTTATTCATCATCAGAGGGTTGCAGGGAACCGACAACGGGTTGCACAGCAGGTGTATTTACGAGGGTTGGTTCATAAGTAATGAGAGTACAGTAGATCCACCAAAGTTTCAGCAATTCTGCAAACAACCCAAAAATTACTCGCATAACCCGGCCATTCATTTGGCAACACCTCAGTGCTGTTCAACATACTATCCGCCGATTCTAAATCCAACCATCAGAACAGCAGTGCCGAAAACCGAGTTCTAGTGCTAATTCTCCAACTTTGGTCCCAACTTTTGGCCACCGTTGAACTAAAAACCGTGACAAAACTAGTAACTAAAATAACGTACCTTTTACGCAACTTTAGCCGTCTCTCATACAACTCGTCGCGACTTCACAACGGTTTACTACCCCAATATACGCTCATTTTTATTTTTCTGGATTGGTTGAAACTCTGTTGAATCTATTTCTAAAAGTTTCAAAACTTATGAAACAACCCTCATACTTGGGTACCACGCACCCTCAAGTACGGCGTGTGCCAGGGTTTTTCATTTGGAAATTGTGCTAAAATCTTACATCCTGGAGTAAGATGCGCACCCCAATTTTTAGTGACTCTAAAACCACATACTTTCAAAAATTATCACAAGAAAATTTGACTGAAATCAGACATGAATTGAACATAAATCTGACCAATTTTTTAAATCAAAAAGTTTTCTTGTTACATTTGTTCCAACATTTTCCATTATAATCAAGTACAGTTGAAACTCTAAGTGGAACCAAAAAAATTTTTTCTAGTCCCAGTCTGAATTACCTTAGAAACAATGCATTGAAAACCTCTCTAACTTCAAGTCTTTTTCTCTCAAACCTGTGTAAGTTGAATTTTCTGATGCCTTTGGGTTATTATAATTTCTTTGAAATATGAAAGATAAACTCAATGAAAAAAATAGGTTTATGCATTGTGAAAGGAAGTGAAAGTCTAATTAAGCAAATGAACCCCTGCATTCAAGTTCAGCAAGCTGTGAACTCATGTTAAGAAGGAAGTTTAGGCCCAGAATATCCTCATTTACAATTTCCTGCAATTTGTTTTACTTATCCTCACAGAAACATATGATTGTTTCTTCAACTCAAAACCTCCTCAAGTCAAATTGTTTTCCTAAATTCGACTTAGAGAGGTTCAACTGTATAATGCACACATGACTTCCTGAAACTTTTTGAAAAACTTTTACCCGCCTATGACGCACACCCCTTTTCTTCTGAATTTTAGGGAAAAAAAATGTGCGCGTGGTACTCGAGTAAACACGGGTAGCAGTCCAAAAACGTATCAAATTCATGGATGTATTATTACCGTAAAACTGTGTACAGTTACTCACACAACAGGAGAGCCGCAGAAAGTTTGAAAACGTCTTTTCGCACGCAGCAGTAGGAAACGTCGTGCCGAATGCCACCCAAGATGCGCACGCGGATTGGCTGATGGCTCAGCGGACCGCCCCCAAAAAAACCTGGGCCACGCCTCTCGCACACCAATGGAACCTGCACACCGTTGCCACAACAACGAAAAACACAGAGCGAGGTTTAAAACAACAACAACAACAACAAAGGATTCACGGTAATCATAGGAATTTTTTTTTTTTAAATACTCAGGAGTGTCTTCATGTCTTTGGTAGGACAACCCCTTCACCCCACTGGAACGTGATGGACACGAACAGCTAGGCCGCCAGAATGATGGTAGAAAGTTTCGCAAAATGGTTTCTGTACTTTTTTTCGTCCTCGGCAATTATTTTTCCTCGTTTCGGAAATCTCCTGCTGCTGGATCTGTTCCTTTGTTATTTCCCGTTAGGTTTTTTAAAAATTCAGAATACATTACAGCATATGGAATTTTTGATGGAATATAGATGCAGTAATTTCATCTCACCAAAATATCACGGATAAGACACCCTCAAAACTCAAAAGAGTCACAACTGTTCACTGGAACTGCACATTAGTCAAACAGTTGAAAGTTTTCCATGGATCAGCGGAAAATAAATTTTGATCAGTGCAGGGAGCAGCTTGGTAATTTTCATATTTCTTGGCAACTCTGCGGTTAGATTCGACTCTGTTCACCTTTCATCAGTGAGCCGGTAATTTAAAAACCACTTACTGGAACGAGATACTGTATATAGAACAAATAGCAAAAACAAGAAATTGGCTTCAAATCCCATTTTCCAGTCGAGGGTTTTTCAGTCATTAGAACTATTTTGCCCACATAATTTTGAACCAGCTCAAAATCATAAAACTCCATTCTCAAACAAGTGACGATAAACTTCAATAAAACGGGGGGATGCATTTCTGTGGAAATTGCAGTTCATGAAAAGCAATCCATTCCAACAAAAAAATAATAATCGAGCTGCTTTTATGCACCAACGACGCCAAAATTAATTTTTCCGACATTTCCATCCGAAAACTTCGAAATATTTGACTAAACAGTACTTCATACTTCGCAGTTACAGCAAGTGGACAGTTTTTTCGGGGGAGGGGGATTCAAGTATGATATTTTACTCAGATTCTCTCGGGAAAATCCTAAAGAATTGACATATGAATTGATTTTTGAAAGACCATAAAAATCCCTTCTCCATGAAAGACCGCCGATTGCAATTTTCCATCAAGTGTGGAAAACAACACACCTTCAAAAATGAGATATTCACGCACACACACACTCGCAAAAATTCTCACTTTGTGCACGGCCAAAGTGGTGTCCACCGACGATGACGCAGGTCGTCCTTGTCGTTGATGGCGGACGTCCCAAAAAGGACGGGAAAGGCTGCAGTTATTCTGACGAAAGGATATCAGACGCTAAGACTTTCTAGAAAGCCGTCCGCGGTGCGTGCTTAGTGAGTGAGTTCAAAAGCTTTTTCCAAGCGTGTGGAAGTTATAAAAGTTTTCGCTCCTGCAATTTATAAAAGTAAAATAAAATTAGTCACGATCTAGCCGAAATGGTGATCATCATCTCAATTCTCAACAAATGAAGTTGACTTAATGTCCCAGTGAAAAACAAGGTTGTCCGTTTTTGTTCCGAACTTCTCCTGAAGTAGTCAGTTTTTGTCCTGAAATCCTCCAAAATCAAACTTTAGCTCAAGTTGGACATACGCGGACATATTATTCTTCAACGGAATTTTGGATCAAATTTGGACAAAATTTGGGGAAGTTTGGATAAAATTTGGACAAAATTTGGGGAAGTTTGGATAAAATTTGGACAAAATTTGGGGAAGTTTGAATAAAATTTGGACAAAATTTGGGGAAGTTTGGATAAAATTTGGACAAAATTTGGGGAAGTTTGGATAAAATTTGGGGAAGTTTGGATAAAATTTGGGGAAGTTTGGATAAAATTTGGACAAAATTTGGGGAAGTTTGGATAAAATTTGGACAAAATTTGGTGAAGTTTGGATAAAATTTGGACAAAATTTGGGGAAGTTTGGATAAAATTTGGAGAAGTTTGAAAACGGCAAAAAATTAATTTTTCACACTAAATTAGGGAACAACGAAGTTCCAGATTCTGCTAAGACTTATCCTTCAGCATTTCTGTGGGAATTGGCAGCAACTCTGGTTCTCACAATTTCTACAAACCTCTGAGGCTTAGAAAATTACATCACATGAAAGATGATAAATTTTAAGAATCACAAGTACAACTTAATTTATCTCAAAGGCCATCTCAACAAAACTTTCCACAATCTTTGAAGGATAACTTCTCTGAAACCTACTGAATACATTATTATTGATTTGATTGCCAGTTGTGCTGAACTCAAGACCTTGCAAGAGTTTGAAGTATTTTGACATTTGTTCAAACTTTGAAGAAAAAAATTACACCATTTTTAAAATAGGATGGATTTCACCAAGGTTGCAGACCAACCAAATTCTTGAGTTTTACTTTAAAACTTATATGTTAAATTCTCAACACGTAACATACAATTGTAGAACAACAAAGAACATCTCAATTGGCAGGATATGAAAGCTTGAGCCAAGGTTTCCCCATCTTACATTCCAGAGACTTGATCAAACCTGCTTCTTTGTAAAATGGATGTACTGTACACATCAAAGTTGTAGCCAGACCCTCAAGCATTCCTTCCAATCAATCCTGCATTGATGGGCTTAGTTGATGGCAATCTGCATGTCACAGGCTTCTTCATTGCAGAACTTGCCTCTGATGTGAATGGCAGGCTGAAAAACACAAAATAAAATTGAGTCAATAAATGCAAAAGTAGTCAAGTATTGTGGCTAATATCTCAAATATTTTCAAGCAAAGCATTTTTTTTCATTGCAATAATAATTTTTTTTCCAGCTATTTTCTTCCACATCATGATGCCCATGATGTATTACAAAATTTAATCTTGAATTGCTGTTGAATAAAAACAGAATCCAGCTATTTCCACAATCCACACTAAAATCAACTCTTAGTGATTTTCAGCCCAAATGCAGGTACAGTAATGATGTTTACTTGAAGATGTCAACTTTTTCTGCATTCCTTTCTGGAGTTCAGGAAAACACTTTGAGGAGTTGTTTATAAACTGTTTATTCTTACAAAGGCTTTTTCCAAAAATTCAATACAAGTGAAGCCTCACAATTTGACCCTAATCCATTGCCAAAGTAGGGTCAAATTGTGAAGCAGTATCATTATAAGACATTGTGATATTTAAAAATATCAGCACAAAATGCAAAAAAAGTGGCCAAAGCAGGTTGAAATGTGGGAAAGCGGTCAAAATGTCAAATTAACCTCCCTGCAAATTTAACCATTGAATTGCAGAATGGTCTAATTGTGTGAGGTCAAATTGCAAGGTACTCAACCTGTACTCAATTAAGCAATGTCTTCAGGGCATAGTCAGGACAAGCAGTTCTGATTCTCCTTGTGCAGAGCTCATATTTATAAGTTTGACCATAACGAGGTCAAGCATGACCTGACAAGCAGTCACCAATGCAGATTGATGTCAACATGCAACATAAAAGGATAGAAAGGAGGATAATAATTTATTCTCCTCTGCTGATAACCAGATAATGATCTGTTGCAGAACAACCAAGAGTAGTGAGTCCTTGATAAGTGCTTTTTAATGAGCAACTTCATGGCAGTCATAACCATATGACTATACAAAGTGCACATATTTCTTCAATTCACCCAAGGTTGAAATTTTCTAATCATGATTAAAACATAAAATGTGTTCCCTGATTCGTGAATCTTTTCACATTTTCACCTGCAACTTTTGTCAATCTTGCAGCTTTCCCAATGTGTAAAAAATAAACTCCTAAACAATTTGAGACTTGGTCCAATAGTGAATGTTTGAAAGGTTCAAGAAATTGGGAAAGAGGAACCTTCATCAGTCTCTAAACTGGGAATGTGGTGGGGGGTTCCTTCGATTTTGGGTTCCTCTGACTTGTGTAGCTCCATGTACCACAATAAGAACCTTCAGTAATTCCTTCCAAAGTTTCTCACGTATAATAACATATGTTCTATCATTTTTTTTTTTTTTGCACGCGAAAATAATAATTTTCAAGTGGGATTCGTTCGACTTGTGCCAGTGTTGCCTCTATTATAGCCGCCCCTAAATTACGGTGAGCGAGATCAATGAAATCTCTCGCGGACATTTTCAGGCCAGTCGATTTATCCCTTATTCACAGGCTGCGAGCGAAATGGCAAAACAGCACCGGTGCTCGCATCATTTTAAAAATTGCCGCTAGATGGCCATCCACCCGGTTTAGTCGGAAGGTGTTTTATGGCTTGGTCGGAGCTGCGGCTAGGATCCCCTTGGTCTACTACATGGGGCAAACGTTGTCAGAGCCCGTCACTACCAAGGAATCGGCGACTGTGGAGAATTCCGTCTGGAAAGTCGGCTCATCCTCCATGCAGGGATGGCGCGTGTCCATGGAGGATTCCCACACTCACATTCTCTCTTTGCCCGATGACCCGGGGACTTGTTTCTTTGGTGTCTATGATGGACACGGAGGTACAGTACAGTACAGTAAAATCTCGTTTCAACAAATGCCATTACTACAAAAAATTTCAGTGGAAAGTCAACCACCGCGAAATGGACTTGATTTGTGCAACAGACCAGTCTGTTGTGTGAATTCAATTACAGTTGAACCTTGATGAGTCAAATTCCCTTGAGTTGAATACTGTAACTCCCTAACTTGGACTTTTTTTTCAAGTCCCTGTCTGGATTCCCTTAGAAACAATGCATTAAAAACCCCCCAGACTCTGAAGTACAGTATTTTTCTCTCAAACCTATGAGTCAAATTTTCTGAGGCCTTTTGGTTGTTCCATTATAACTAAAATGTAATTGCAGTCAACCCCTGCAAAATGGACATGATTTGTGCCAAAGACCTGTCTGCTGTGTGTAAAGTCTGTTATGTGAATTGAATTAAAGTTAAACCTTGATGAGTCAAACTCCCCAAAGTTGAATACAGTACATCCCTAACTTGGATTATTTGCAAGTCCCTGTCTGGATTCCCTAAGAAACAATGCATTAAAAACCCTCCTGACTCAAAGCCTTTTTCTCTCAAATACCTCTGAAGTCAACTTTTCTTAGGCTTTTTGGTTATTCCATTGCAACAAAAAATTTCAGTCAAGTCAACCCCCACTAAATGGACTTGATTTGTGCAACAGACCAGTCTGCTTGTGTGAAATGTCTGTTATGTGAATTCAATTACAGTTGAACTTTGATTAGTCAAACTCCCCAAAGTTGAATACCTCCCTAACTTGAATTCTTTTCAAGTCACTGTCTGGATTCCCTTAGAAACAATGCATTAAAAACCCTCCTGACTCAAAGCCTTTTTATCTCAAATACCTCTGAAGTCAACTTTTCTGAGGCTTTTTGGTTATTCCATTGCAACGAAAAATTTCAGTCAAGTCAACCGTTGCAAAATGGACTTGATTTGTGCAACAGACTTGTCTGCTGTGTGAAAAGTCTGTTACATGATTTCATTTACAGTTTACCTCCATAACCTGAATTCTTTTCCAGTCCCTGTCTGGTTTCCCTCAGAAACAATGCATTAAAAACCCCCAAACTCAGCCTTTTTCTCTCATATACCTCTTGAAGTTAACTTTCCTGAGGTCTTTTGGTTCTTATTTCCTTGCAATATGAAAGAGATAAATCAATAAAACACATAAATGTGTGCATATTGAAATGAAGTGAAGGTCTAATTAAATAAATGAATCCCACCCTCCAAGTTCTGCATGCAAGCTGTACACTCATTAGTCATTAGGGGGTTTGCTGAACAAAATACACCAGCAAAACTCAATTTAAAAGGGGTTTTGTATGCTTGTGTAACCCTACTGATGCTTACAAATTGCAAGCTTTTTTGGAACACCCACCCTTACAAGTATGTGCAGGAATTGCTCATGAAGACTCAAAGTCCACCGAAGATGCTAGTTTTTACCTGTTCTTCAGAGTAAATGTTTAACATTTAAATTTCCTTTCGAAGATCAGTTTTTTGAAACATTGAAAAATATCTTGAAAGACTGCAAAAGAAAGATGTAAAATATATGTAGGCTTGAATTTTAAAAATCTCATCAGTCAATGATTTTGAAAATCTCATTACAATTTTTTGTTAAACAAATTTTTCTGAAGTCCCCATGAGTTGGTTCTAACAAGAATGTATTTGTGTGAAGTTTAGAATTTGAAAAAAAAACTTTTGAGTAGAAAAGTGAGTCATTTTCAATTGTGTTCATAGGTTGCAAAATTTCCCAGCATGTGGGCAAGCATCTCCACAAATACATCATTCAGCAAGAGGAATACCTCAGAGGGAACATTGAGGAGGCCATCCGACTGGTTGGTGTTCATTGAATTTTTTGAGTGTACAGTACAGTGGTACCTCATAGTACGAACATTTTGTGTAACCAAATTTTCAAATATTATTTCCACCCTCCAACTAAAAAAATGTGAAGTAGAAACTAGATGTTGGAAATCCAGAAATTCTCCAAAAACTAGTTTTCTTCATTTTTCATCATATCCCCTGCAGACTTCATGTAAATAATCTGCAATATACACTTCCTCAACATAAATGAGAGAAACCCCAGTTTTTGATGACCTCATCAGCATACACCCCCTCAGACATAATGTACTAAATCTTCAATCCCAACAATTTATAAAAAAATTGAGTTGAAAACTACTTCTGGAGGCAATTTCCAGCATAAGCCCATAATATGCACTACACTTTGAAAACCATGCAGACAGAAAACCTGCGTTATTTAGGGTGGCAAATTTTCTAATATAAAATGAGATGGTGCGTGTTTATGAAATTGATTTTTTTCAAGTCTTCAAAAATGGGGTTTTATCTCTTTTTGAGAGGGTTATTTGCAGGCTTAAAAATGGTCTTCTGTGGGGTTATGTGCACAGCAAAAAATTACTTGACAATGTGTTTTGCTTTGAACAGAATCCCCAGCCAGCAAATAATTTGGCGTTTTGAAATGCATTTTAAACGCATTTCTAGCCAAAAATGCTACGCATTTTGTACTTCTCTATGTTACGCCTACTTGGTATTTTATTTAATGCATATCTTACAGGCTTTTTGAAATGCCTTCTAGTTACAGCTATTTTTTTTCTTCTGGGATCAGGTGTAACTTGAGTTACGCCTGGATAGGATTCATTACAATACTGAAACACGTTTTAAAACCCAAAAATTGTTACATTTGTCTTGCTATACTATTGTTGCTGATTTAACAGGCAACAGAAGCTGGGCATAACAGTTATGCATAACAAATGAGTTTTGAATATGTAACTGTTACGCGCAGCACTACCCGTAACAAATTATTTGCTTGGCTTATAGATGCAATGTTGAACTGGATTGACTTTTTAAACTCGATGTGGACTGGTGTTTTAAACCAGTGGATTAAAATGTGAACTGAAGATTTAAAACACTGCTTCTAAGGGGTTATGCTCAAAACAATACCCATTCCAAAAAAACACTTGCCAAAAAATGAGTTTGAACCCCTTTTTTCAAAGTATTCATTTAAAAACTGTTGAAAAAGTTTGGATAGCAGGTTCAATATTGTACATTGAATGTAAGAGACATGATCAAGAAGTACTCAAAATTATTCAAGTGGAAATAAAATAAATGTTTCCAAATTTTTGTAACAAATTAAATGATTTCCCACAGAAGTCCATGGGTAATAATGATTTTTACAAATGACAAACTGTACAACAAATATACTGCTTGCACCAATAATTTTTGTCGTATGAGCTATAGTAGGGTACCACTGTTCAGTACTGTATAGTGATACCCTATTGACAATTGATCACAGGGTTTCCTGGAGATGGATCGGATCATGTCACACGACATGGCTTTGAAAGAAGACTCTTCAGGAACAACAGCTGTAGTAGTTATCGTGAAAGATGGAAGACTTTTCTGCGTATGTCCTGTGATTCCTCCTCTTTGCTTTTCATTAAGTCACAAATATTTGCGGGCTTCTTTCCCCCCCCCATGGTGAAAAAACAAACAAAAAAACAGGGCAATGTTGGAGATTCGCGTGCTGTGGCATCCCTGCGTGGCATGGCAGAGGACTTGTCCATGGACCACAAGCCAACCGGGGAGAAGGAGCTGACTCGGATAGTGGCCGCCGGCGGGTATGTGGAATACTCGCGCGTCAACGGGAACCTGGCCCTATCCCGGGCCTTGGGGGACTACGGGTACAAGCAGAATGTCCTCAAGTCTCCCGAGGAACAGGTTGTCACTGCCAATCCAGACGTGGAAGTTCGTCAACTGACCAACGATTACGAGTTTGTTCTCATTGCCTGTGACGGCATCTGGGATGTTTTGTCTAGTCAGGTATACACCGCACATTTCAGTTTCCACTTTCTCATGCCATCTTCACCAATCAATCTTGCCCAAGACACTTATCAACCAAGTCTAAACAGTTTTGTAGGAGTAAAATTTTATTGAGAAAAAATATAAAATTAAAAATTAAATTGAAAAAGAAAATTTAAACAGAAAATTTAAAAAGAAAATTTAAAATTAAATTCAAAAATGAAATTTAAAATTGAATTTAAAAATTAAATTTAAAATAATGAGAAAAAGCTTAATTCATACAGTAATAATTTAAATTTTCAATTTATTTATTTATTTTTTTATTTCAAAATTGAGAAACCTTTTTCTTGTGGCACCATTTCCAGATAAGGTATTTCTGAAATTGGATAAGGTGGCACCTCAACAGCCTCCTAAATGACTTTAGGAAATGTGGATTTCAACAAGGAGTGTGATTAATGAATAGTTAGCAAACAATCAAAGTGGGGGGTCTTGCTTTACAAACCCTAATCCATTTCTGACCAAACAGTTTGACCAAATCAAATTTCCCCTTAAATACAGGAATAATTTTCATTGGTTCCAGAACTGCACATGAAAATAAAAAAATGTCTACCTGTAATTTCAACTGGGCCTAAATAAAAGAACTTTTACTGAAGAAAATCAGAATAGTAGCTTGAAGTGTTGATGAAGACAAGAGTCTAAATAGGATAACAAAGAGGACAGGTGGAGTCAACTCTTTCTACACACAAAAATGCATTCAGTAAATGTTTTTGGGCCTCAGTTGATCCTTTCAAACAATTCAATCACCCTGCATTTCTGCTGTACACTACATTTTTCTTCAATTGGAGGCAGGTTGAGAGAACTATCAATGAATACATTTTCAAAAATAGAACACACATGTTAAAAAAATAAAAATAATTCTATAAGTTTTTTTTTTAATTCCAACCTCCATCCTGTAAAAGAGTAAGGAAATATTCTGGGAAATATATGGTGCCAATTTTATGCCCAAGGGGTTTGCGTTTTGGGAGGCCTGCCTTTGAAATCAAAGTTTGTAAACCAAGTCATGGTTTGTTATCCAAGGTAGCCCAGGCCAAAATACAAATTTACTTATCCAAATACAGTGGCTCCCCACCTAACAGACCTCCCGTGTGCGTAAGGGATTTTTGCCAAACAGACCAGTTCTGCAAGCATTTTTTCCTCCTGCCCAACAGACAAAATCCGCTAAACAGACTTCTTTTGGTTGAAAATTAGTGTTGAAAATTGAAATTTTTAATTTTTTATGTAATTGAATTCGTGTAAAGGACTTTTTGTCTAACAGACTTGTCCCTTGCACAAATCAAATCCATTAGACGGGGGTTGACTGTATAGTTTGTTAATCATGGCATTCATTAACCAAGACCCCACTATACAATAGTTGGGTAAATCAAAGGTTAAGGTAGTTTAGTATTGGAAGCAAGCAAAGTACCTAAATGACTTACAATAGACTTGCACCTAGCACAGGACTGCATTTATCTGTTGCACAAGTAATTTCAAATCATATGTTTTTCCCTCTATGCCTCAGGATGCTATAGATTTTGTCCGTCAGCGGATTGCTCAAGGACTAGAACCAGAAGCTATTTGTGAAGCACTGCTGGAGCACTGTTTGGCACCTGACTTGTCCTTTGGAGGGTTGGGCTGTGATAACATGACTGTTATTCTTGCTGTATATGTGAATGGACGGCCTTATGAGGATGTCTTATGTGTGCCAGTCAAGCTGGCTCTGCTTAGGACCATTGATGATGCATTGCCTAGCAATGACATGACAGAATCCACTGCAAGCATCACTTCAGCTGGCTTCACAACACCAGCTGAGGCTGACAGCAGCAAGCCAAGAATGGAATCAAGTGTGGATCAGAAAGGTAATTTACCTACTTCATACAGTAAAATCTTGTTACAACAACAAACTCCTGGAGACTTCAGAAAAAGTTTGTTTTAACAAATAATTTGTTATGCTAAGAACTTCAATAATTTTGACTGCTTGAAAGAGAAAAAAATAGACCTGCATATATTCAACATCCTCCTTCTGTGGCCTTTTCAAAATTTTTTCAGAGTTGAGAAAACTGATCTTTGAAAATAAATTTGAATGTTACTTGTTTTGAATAACAGGTAACAGTAGCACTTTTTTGACTTCAAGTTTTTTCAAGCAAATCCTGCACAGATTTTCAAGGGTGAATGTTCCATAAAAGCTCATAATTTTTCAAGCATCAGTAGGGTTTCTCAAGCATACCAAGCCATCCTAACCTGAGTTTTGTTAGGTTCATTATTTTTAATACCACCCCCCTTCCCTCATATTTCTCAACCCAGGGAAGAAAATGGGGAAGAGAGGATATTTAGGAGAATTTTGAAGAATTTTTGTTTTTGGTTCTGCCCTTTGTCTTAAGGACCAGTCACAGCCACATTTTGAATGGGAAATTTGACTGTGCCTGCTTTCAATGGGGACTTGTCATTAAAAAGTTTGTTATGCTGAAATGGCAAGTTTGTTGTAACAAGATTTTTATGACATGCACCCCATAAGGATTCTGCTGGGACTTGAAAAAATATTTGTTATACTGTTACATTTTTTCCAACAATATTTTACTGTATTGCATTTTCAAATGGGCCTTCCTTAGATTGTTGAGGTCACATCTCATTTTCACCAAATAATTGATACAGTATTTATTTTTTATTCATGCTGCAAGTTTTTTTACATTTTTCAACTCTGTGCAATGTAATTTTGCTGATGCATGTGCGCAGACAGAGTGGAAAAGGCATGATGTTGCTGGCAGAAAACACTGCTTCTTGGTCAATGGGGAATTTGCATGATCAACTCACAGGAGACATATGTCTAAACAATTTGAGCAGATCTGGATCCATCCAACCATTGACTGGAGGACATACTCCATTAACTTCCTTTCTTCTGTGCTGGCTTGAAGTGATATTGGCACCATTTTATGTTCTCCCATTGACAGGAACTGTTTGCATTATCTGATTACATTGATGCTTCTTGTTTTTTTTATGGCTCTAAGTTATATATTGCCAAGCTCAATTCTTGAACATACTGGCATAGTTGTTGCTGCATTTACTTTTGAGTAAAGACAAGTTCCTTGCTTGACTGTTGAAGTATGCTGGCCTTTTCTCAATAATGTAAGTTTAATGCATTTGAACCTTTTGGTCCCACAAATAGGGGGGTAACCTCATTAACCTTTGGATGGTGGAGGGATCCTTTCTATCAGAAGGCTTATTTTGATTTTTTTTTTTTTGGAGGAGAGGCATATTCCAGTTTGACCAAAGGTCACTGAAATTCTCCCAGGCTGAAAAGTTTAAGTTGAAAAAAATCCAGGAGTCAAAATTTTCTATTGTTTTCAGGAATATCCAATGCTAATCCTATTCCAGAAATGCAGAAAAAAAGGCCCTCCAGAGTGAGTGATCAATATATTTTTCATGAAAAATTTTCTTCAGGATTATAAAAAAGGATTGGACTTTTTCCTGACTTAAACCTTATGGTACTAAATTAGAATATATACAGTTTTTATTTCCAGTGCTCATGTGCACAAAAGTTTGCAAAAATACTCCACCTTTGCCACATGAGGGTTAAACTGAACACTGGTTTCCCATTCCATGATAGTGTGCATGTCAGTTGTGAAAGAATTTAATCTGAGGAGAGCCAATGAATTTGAGATTAATTAGAGTACCATTTGAAAACTGAAGCTTAAGAAATCTTTTTGTCTCATGATTTATGGAGTTTCAGGAATCATATTACTAAGACACTTTTTGAAGACTTGAAACCAAAATGTGATTTAACTGCATGTTGGTAATCTCTGACCATGAAAAAAAAAAGTGGGTCGATGCTTATCCCTTTTCTCATTTCTCAACACTTGCGAAAATGGCTGAAACGACAGAAAAATTCCTGAGTGGGACGCCTCACAGAAAAAAAACAAGTCTTTCAATTTTTGTCTAAAACAAAAACTTGAAGATTACATCCACACTTCAGTGTTTGTTTTCATTCGCATCAGCACCTTTCTTTCAGTTCTTATTTCTTCCAAACGGAGGAAAACTTTTTTCTCGCTCAAATGCCCATGCATCAGCCGTCAATTAAGATTGGGCGCCTTTTTTACCAGCACTATATCAGCGCCACCACACTGCACAGCCCAGAAAGCGTCCCAAGAAAAAATGAACAACAAATTATAATGTGGAAAAGAAACGTGGCAGCATTTCATGGAGAGGTGAGGAGAAGGCCAGCTGCTGTATACAGTATGTGGCTGCCGCCCCAACGGCGGCGAAAGGCGCCTCGCCCCGGCCTACATGCAGCCACCGTGGCGAGAATTGAAGCGCAGAAAACGTGCCAAATAATGCGTCTCTCCTCCGCCAATGCGTGACAGCGGATTTGAGAGAGAGAGTGAGTGGGAGGTTCTTTAATTTCAAGCATTCCACTTCGCATCATCAAAGGATCACTCATTTTAGCAATTTAATGTCCAAAAATCATCAATGTCTCATCCTAAAAAAAATTTTCCATTTTTTCTGAAAAGAAGAGCTTCCTAAAATAAAAAACTACCCAAGTCAAATATGTTTATTCCTTTGAGTTTGATTTAAGAAGGTGCCACAGTAGAGATTGTAGATTTGTAGGTAAACTTGGAACATATAATTTGGTAAACACTGGAGTCCGGGCTGAATTAAGGTGGGTGTGCTGTAGCATTAGGCCCAGCAGGCAAATTGGCCCCCAGAGAATTCTAAAATGAAATTCCCCAAGCTGGTGAATTTAATTTTAAAAATTCCGTGAGCTAGGGAATTCAGACTTTTGAGAAAATATGAAAAGTTTGCAATAACGCAGAAAAGAGAAAAGCATTTAGGATTTTAAAAATCAGGCATCACTAAATCAATTCAAGCACACTGCAGTGTCCTTGAATTGAATTGGTTTATATGTGCATGCACATAGAAACCCTTTAACAGGAAACCAAATCAAGGACATGTCCTTGGTTGAGAGCATACAATCATTCCTGCATTAAAAACATATCAAGGCCTGTCATCAAAAATAGGAAAGGGAGTGCCAGACATCATAGGGAGGAAAAATCCAATCAAAGATATCAGTTCTAGTCATGACCCTGGTGGTGGTGGTATAAAAGTGTCACTTCTGTGAGTCCTGTCCCCACTTCAAAAGCCTGTGGTGGCTTCAAAAATCTTTTGAAGGGATTTTTATGGTGTTTAAAATGTACAACATTTTATTTCTGAAAAAATTGATTTATAAACAATTGTGTTTTTAAAAATTAATTCTATTTAATTCATTCCCTGCTGTGCCTCCTTATCCCCCTCCCCCCTTTTCTGGCTTCCATAAATCCAAATCTCCCTCTTTTGCAATGAAGATGCTTTTTGAACACCCCCCCTCTAAAAAAAACCTTTATCACCTTGCATCCTGGGAAACAGGAAGATATCCCCCCCCCACCCCCTGTAATTTTCTACTGTGCACCAGGTGTAGGTTAAACCCACAAAGATAGAGCAAGAGATACATTGTAAGAAATAACTGAAAAAACACAATCCGCCTGGGAACACGGCAGGGGAGAATTTGGTAATTCTCCCAAAGAATGAAAAGTGATAACTATATTTGAATAGAGTTTGATTAGCATTTGAGACAACAAGACAAACATTCAACACAAAATGATCAAAGAGACCGTGTTCAAAATGGGGTTGGAATTGCGGAAGGAGGGAGAATTGCGCAATGGGAAAAACCTACTTGAGGGTTTTTCTGCTAATGTAGGAATATTATAATTACACAAAACAGTTTACTCAAAAGAGTGGGTTGACAGTGTTGGAGTGCAGCGCAGGATGACTATACCTTACACCAGGCCAAGGGTATCTTGTTCAAGCCATATTTTCTATGAGGAATTCCAGGAGCAGGAGTGTGACAAACTGAGATTTTTATTCTTTACATATCCCTGTGTATCTTGAAATGGGGAAGTTTTCTATCTTCTGTGCAGGCCTTGTCTCTAAGTGACATACAATGACCTGCTATCACTCCTGTTTGGAGGCTGGGAAAAATAAGGGAAACTTGTCTTGTTTTTCTGGAAAAGGAAAAATTTACACCAGAAGATTGTGAGAATTTGAGGGGAGAGGAAACCAGGAAAGTAAAAAGGGATAGAGGTGGAACTGGTTGGGGCTGTGATGGAGTGGGAGAAAAAGGTTTGCTGAGTGTTTTGGGTTATTTTCACTCCTCTTTGTCTAGTTCCACTTCCTGGGTTTCTCTTGTTTACTTCCTGTCCTTCTCTGAAAAATTACATCAACAGATGGTTGCTCACAGGCAGTATCACTGAAGGGCTATGTACTTCAAAATTTTGTTCCCTCAACTATTGCAGGGCAAAAGCTGTTTTTCTTCACTCAAGTAAGTAAATCTCTTTTCTTCTGCTCCAAATTCTTTCTATCCCCTTTTCTCAACTAAATCTTTTCCTTTCTACTATTCTTGCTCTGCTTTTTCTTTTCCCTCTTTCCTTCCTAATGCTCCAAGGTTTTTTCTGTTTTCTGGATACCACTTTCCTACCTGCAATTTTTCAGGTACCCTTCTTCTAGTGCTCTAATCTCTGGTCTTCAATTTTTTTTTGAATATTCCTCTGTTCTTTTTCTTTGTCTTCTGGAAGATTTTTTCTGTCTCTGTTCTTTGTTATGTACGTTAATAAAATATTTTAGCAAAGCAAATATTTTAGCGCTCTCCAGTTTTTTTGTTTTCCTATAAAACTTGTCACACTTCTTTCATACACACAAAACAAAAACAAAAAGTTTAAAACAACAAAGAGAGAGGAATTTGAATCAGGCAAAAATTCTAGACCAGGAAGGCAGGGATGACCCTTGCTACAGGGCTAATTTATTTCAGTGTGAAAAGCAGATTGGACTTACAGAGAGGCAGGTTTTTCTGCATTGCCTCTTCCAACAAAATTCGCGCAAATTTGCAATGTTTAGAATAGAAAAATTTGAAACATCACAAGAATTTGAAATGCCACAAAATGTGTCCAGTGCTTGGAGTTATGGAGATTTGTGAGAGAGGTAAATTGGTCTTCCAAAAAGGAAGAAACTGTACAAATTCTTGTTGCAGGAGAGGACTCATTGCACACAAAAAGGAAAAGAAAAAACTATCCATATGGTCCATGGCTTGAAGAGCCACTAACAACTGCACCAAGTTTGTTATCTTAAAAAGAGGAAATCCGTTTTTTAGAAACAATGGAGACATTTTATTGTATGTGCAGTACAAGAATATTACAATACCAGTTCACCAGAACACAAGAGCAAAAAATTATGCAGCACAGAGAAACTTTGCCCATGCAAAGTTTTGAGACTAACAACTGGCCACAACCGAGTTAGATCTGATGCCAGAAATATACGTCTGGCTCTTTTAAAGACTACAGGCATTTTTGTCAATGTGATAAGGAATACAAGGGGAGGAAGTTCCAAAGCTCTGGGACAAAAGATATGGCTATCTTTCCACAACAAAGGGTTGAAAAGATGACCAGACTTATGGGATAATTAAAGTGACACTATCTTTCCTAACACTCATTGCCTGACCAGTGCAAGATAACTTTGTGGGTTAACCACAAAGTTTAGGGAAACATTCTTAAGGTTAAAAACTCATCCCACACAAAAAGAACAGAAAAGTTCCACCTTTTCTCCCAAGGTGCACCACACAAGTGCTTCAACAAGAATTATTTTGTGTGTACACCCTGTATGAGTTGTAAGCAGGATGTTCCTGCTGGGAGGGCAGAATAGGAAGCAGGAAAAATTGCTTCCTGCCTTTTCTAGAGGAAAGAGTCACCCAAGTGAATCACTTCTCAGAGGCATGGAATAGGTTTAGTTTTGTTTCCAATCTTTTGGTGGGTTGAATTTCTCCCCATTTTTATGACTTGCTTTTACTTATTAAAGAAACTAGGCTCTGCTACCAATTTTGTAGGTTAAACCCACAAAGAGTGAGAGATAAATCTTAAGAAATAACTAATAAAAACACAATCCGCCAGGGGAACATGGCATGGGAGAATTTGGTAATTCTCCTTAAGAATGAAAAGTGATAACTATATTTCAATAGAGTTCAAATAACACTTGAGACAATGAGACAAAGGTTTGAATGAACAAATGAACAGAGCACTTTATTTGACACTTTTCAGCATTCACAAGGTTCAATCAAGATTCCCACAACCAAACCCTT